GGCAGAAGGATCATTGTGAGTTCGAGGCCAGCCTGGGCTACAAAGTGAGCTCAAGGCCAGCCTGAACTGCATAGCGAGACCCTGTCTCAAAAAAAGAAAAAAAAAAAAAATTCAACAATACGTTTTCGTCAGACACTGTGGCACACCCTTGTCATCTCAGCACTCGAAGGCCAAGGCAGATGCATCACCGTCAATTTGAGGACAGCCTGGGCTATATACACAGTGAGTTCAAGGCAAGCCTGAATTACATAGCGAGACCCTATCTCAAAAAGAAAAGAAAAAAAAGATGGTTTTAGAGCAACATAAGATTACTCATGAAAAAAAAAAAAAAAAAAAAGCTCTTTTTTTTTTTTTTTTTTTTTGAGATTTATCCATGCAGTTGCAGACCTGGGAGAGATGGCTAGAGGTAAAACTACATAGGCTCTGGTAGCCACTGAACGAACTTGTGTTTTCCTCTGAATGAAATGGGAGGCTACTGAGGGACTGTGACCAAGATCCAACTTGATTTGACTCGCAGTATGCAGCAGTCCTCCCTTATCTGCAAGGGATAGAAGACCGCCCCTACACACCAGACTCCAGAAACTACATAATACACAATGCAGCTACTGTGTTAACTCTATAGTGCACACCTACGCTGACATTTAGTTAAAAAATCAGGAATAGGACATTACCAATAACTAATAGAACAAAACAATTACAATAATATGCTGTATTGAAAACTGGCAAAATCACAACTTTGCGCTACGGAGCCATTACGAAGTGGTTGGGTAGGGTAACACAGGCACTGGTACTTCACTGAACTCTAACAGAGATGTCAAAGATGGGACATGGGAACAGTGTGGATGTGGCGGACAAAGGCTTGAGTCAAGTTCTGAGTGGGATGGAGGAGGATAGGATGGATGACACGGGTTTCACACTACTCGGAATGCTGCATGATTGAGAAGTTATGGATAATTTGTGAAATTTGCTTTTTTTTTTTTGTCTTTTTGAGACAGGGCCTTGCTATGCAGTTCAGAACTTGCAACAATGATCTCGAACTTGCAACAATCCTCCTGCCTCAGCCTCCTGAGTGCTGGGAGTACAAGCGTGCACCACCATGCCCAGAAAATTTGCTATTTAATATTTTCAGGCTTTAACTGAAACCATGAAAAGTGAAACTGCAAATAATGGGGGGAGCTACTGTACAAGGACCTGCCATATGAGTGTTGGGTTAAGAAGTGACCAGGAGGGAAAAGTACAATCAAGAAGACCAATTAAAGGGCTACTACAGGTAACCCAAATAAGAGAAAATGGAATTAGCAGTGGAAATGGTGAGAAACTGTCAGATTTGGATACGTCTTTGAAAGAGTAGAGATTTCAAGGTGTTCCTAACAGTGGGGTTTAAGAGAAGAAATCCAAGATCAGGGTGACTGTACACACTCGGGTCTAAACTGGAAGAACAGAGTTGTCATCAAAGGACAGAAGAATATAGTAGGATGGACACATTATGTTTGTACAGAGGGAATTAGATTAGGCGGTTAGCTATGAAGATATTTAGTAGGCAGTTATTCACATGAACTGGGAGTTCAGAGAAAAAGCCAAATTGAAGACAGAAATCTGAAAATAATAATGACACAAATGGTACTTAAAAGCATAAGCCAGACAGAACTACTAAGAAGGAGGCGGGCACAGTGGCTGTAATTCCAGCACTTAGGAGGCTGAAGCAGGAGGATCACTGAGAGTTCAAGGCCAGCCTGGGCTACATACTGAGTTCAAGGCCAGCCTGAGACTCTGTCTCAAAAAAAAAAAAATTAAAAAGAAAAAAGAAACACTACTAAAGAGGGAGATACAAATAGAGAAGGGGAAAACCTCAAAAACTTGGTGAGATGCACTCCAACAATAAGAGATCTCAAGAAATATATATTTAAATAAATCAGAACCAGTGATTTCATTTTGTTGTTTGGATCAGTGAGTTTACATACTACCAAGACATCTGCACTGGCCTTACCTAGTGAGCAGTTGCTTTGCATCCTCCCATCTGTGGAACAACGTAACATGGTGCCAACTACACGGCCTCCCACGACAATGACACGCACGTCCCGTCCGTGAGACTCCTTCACATACTTCTGAAACAGGTACGGCGCTTCATGGCGAATAAGGTGGCTTAAATCAGCCAAATGGTGCTTGTCTCGTGCCAAGAAAACAGCTTTGCCTATGATTGAAGAAACACATAAAATGTACGTAATAGCCAAAGTCAGCAAACCCAGGAACTGACATCTACTAGCTGAACACTCTTACGTTCCAATCTGCTATTTAAATTTTCCTTGCTAAGCGCCTGCCTGGCAAGTGCAAGGTCGCGAGTTCGGTTCCCGGTACGGAGAAAAACAAAAAAAAAATAAATAAATAAATAAATAAATAAATAAATAAATTTTCCTTGCTAGAACTGTTTTAAAGTAATTTAGTTATGATAATTACAGATAAAATAAAAACAAAGTTAACAAAATTCTGCCCTAACCCCACAATCCCCAAACTCTTGGTAAACTAGAACTCATTTTAGTGTGTGTTACAAGGTAGTGGTCCGGATTTGTATTCTTCCAGAAGTTAGCCAGTAATGTTAGCCCCACTGATGAATAAAACTTTTTCCCTTTGACTTAAAGCATATGCATCAGCCGGGTGTGGTGGCACACGCCTGTAATCCCAGCACTGGGAAGGCTGAGGCAGGAGGATTGTTGTGAGTTCGAGACCAGCCTGGGCTACAAAGTGAGCTCAACAATAGCCTGAACTGCATAGGAAGACCCTGTCTCAAAAAGAAAAAAAAAAAAGAAAAAATGTTTTTACAATTTTTTCCCCTTACATTTTAATCTTCCAACCCTATCAATTAAGAGGGAGGTGGGGCTGGGGATTTAGCTCAGCAGCAAAAGCGCCTGCCTGGCAAGCGCAAGGTCGTGAGTTCGGTTCCCGGTACCGGAGAAAAAACAAAAAAAAAAACAACAACAACAACAACAATTAAGAGGGAGGTAACTGGAGTTAGAGCTCTAAGGTCCTTTTATTGTTGAAGAGGAAGATAAAGACATTAACTTGGGATCTGGTCTAGCCATGAATGTTAAAATCTCCAGGAAAACCACTAAACACATACAGCTTCTAGCCAAACTCAACTTGCAATAATTTTCTGAAAGTTTGAGGTATCATATACCTATTAATTTCCAATTATTCTTCAAAAGCCTTTTCTCAAAACTTCCAAGTTATGTGCCATATCAACAACTCACACATACCCCGATGACCCCGTGTATTCTTTACCACCATTGGGAACTCCAGGACTTCTGCTTCGTCAATCATTTTAGCAAAATTTTCATGGCCACCTGAACAAAAAAGAAACAGAAATTTAACAAGTACAACAGTAGAAGTATTTTGTGATCAATTTTATTGATACCTATTTTACTGAGATCCAAGACAGCAGCACAAGAGAAGTAGAAATAAAAGTCTGGGGCCTAATTTTTTTCTCTTAGAGAATATATAAATTGAAAGTATAATTGAGCATCAAATGCAAACAACCATACTTTCTTCCCGCCACCTCCAGTACTGGGAATCGAACTCACGACCTTGCGCTTACCAGGCAGGCGCTGTGCCACTGAGCTAAATCCCCAGCCCCACAACCATACTTTTTAAAACAGATTAGAGCCAGGTGTGCGGGCGAATGCCTGTAATCTCAGCCCTCGGAGGGCTGAGGCAGGAGGATTGTTGGAGTTCAAGGCCAGCCTGGGATACTAAGTGAGCACAAGGCCAGCCTGAACTACATAGCAAGACCCTGTCTCAAAAAGACAAAAAATAATAAAATAAAATAGATAAGAGCTATCTGAAAACTATACACATTCTATTATCCAACTTAAAATATTTTAGCTAAACAATTTCCCAATTCTGTACAATTTTTCACATTTTTATCCCTTACTCCTCCCCTACACAAATCATAAAAGCCCCAAGACTTACTATATATAATATATATAATCTCCCTGCTCAGATTAAGAAACAGAACAATGAGTTAGTTGAAAAGACTTATTCAGGGTTAAGAGATGCTGCATACACCCATGCATTCACACTCTCCCTTCCTTGATTACCAAACACATATAATTTTATCTCCATTTTTTAATCAAATTTCCTTCTACACTGAGGTACTGAGCATTCATAGGATAGGTCTTGCTCCTTATTGCCAAGCAACAAATACAGCAGCAAGAAAAGAGCAAAAATGGACTGTCGTTGTAAAACTTCAGCATGACAATAGAGAAAAAAATTAAACCTGGGGATGGTTCACTGAACAACTGCAATATGAAAAATTTGCGGGTCAGAAAAATTACGGTGTTTTTGCCACCAAATTTGAATTCATCAGTATTACAGCAAAGGTAGTATTTGCTAATCTGGTTAACCTTTTTCTCATTTCCATTCTCATAAAAATTATAATTGTAGAGCCATGATATAAGCTACTATCTCAAAAGCACCAGGAAGACATAATTCTCGATCTATATTAATTCTGTCTTTTTCCTCTTCAACTACTGAAGCCAGCAATTGTATCCACATATTTGGGAGCTTCCTTCTTTAAAAAATTAAGAAAAAGGACAAGGACTTTTTTTAAAACCTTGTTAAATCTCCAAGCACTATCCTAGACATTTATTTGGAGAAACGCCTATGCAAAAGAAATCCTGTAGTGATCTCTTCCAAAGCAGAAGAATGGGAAGGACAGGAAATACATTAGCATAGCCTGGATCAGAGCAGTACTACTCCAAGTGTGGTCTTATAACCTGTGCTTGAGGGGCTGGGGATTTAGCTCAGTGGCAAAAGCGCCTGCCTGGCAAGCGCAAGGTCGAGAGTTCGGGTCCCAGTACCGGAGAAAAACCAAAAAAAAAAAAGAAACAACAACAACAACAACAACCTGTGCTTGTGACTTGTTACTGACACGTGGTCAGGAGTAAGCAATAGAGGTCCTCATGGCAACTTGGTGTTGCTATTTTTTTATTATATAGTACATGACTAATAATCCATAGATTGAACTTTTAAAATAATTATTCCTTACTTTACAACAATAGTTTCAAAGCATTACCTGCTAATTTTCTTTAAAAATAGGGCCAGATGAAGAATTGTGAAAATGGTAATGAACACAGTAAGAAATTAAACAGTAATATTGAATTTTCTTATCTTTTACTTTAAGCTTAAGACTTTGGGCCAGGTTTGGCCTATTATCTAGTGGAATAGTTTTAATGGAACAGAGCCATATTCATTTGTTTATGCATTACTGTTGTTATCAGCTTTCACACTACGATAGTACTAGTAAGGATAACAGCAAAGAACTTACGGTCTATGAAACCTAAAATATTTACTATCTTGCTTTTACCAAAAAAGCTGGCTAACCCAAATTTATCCATATCATGGAGCTAATCTTAAGACACAACTCATAATTTTTCCCTGTCCAGTTTTTTAAAACTGAATGTCACTATTTCCATAAAAAAGCTCTTTCAAGTGCACAGATCTACCTTTTAGGCCTGCTATGGTGGCTTACACCTGTAATCCCAGCACTTGGGAAACTGAGACAGGAGGTTACTACAAGTTCAAGACCAGTCTCGGGTAGTGAGTTTAGGGCAAACCTGAACTAGACAGCAAGATCCTATCTCAAAAAAAAAACCAAAACTATCTTTTAGTTTAATATAGATCTCAAAACTATCAGCTATCAGTGCTTCTAAAACATAGGCTATATATTCTTATTTAAGATCTCACCATAAGAGAAAGTATCTGGCAGAGGAACACCATGGCCAGCTAACTCTTGAAATGTCCAAAATTTATTAACACAATTCAGGATGGCTTGAGGTCGGTTCATCAATCGGCAGCCCATCTTCTCCAGATGACGCAAAACAGTTATGTCACTATCGCTCTGCACCCACGGGGTGGGAACTCTCACTACCACCACCTGGGGGTAGGCAGAGATGAGTTCTCCATTGATCCGCAGACCTGAAATGTATAGGAATAACATGAAATCCAGCAGAAGGAAATATACAGTAATACAGAGAGAGAATAGCCCAAAGCTTGGATTACAAAATTAAATGCACTGTTATTAATCAGTGGGGACAGAGAGACATTCCTGTTAGAAAACAGAAAATTCCTATATGGTTTACTAAATTACATCATATGCTAATACAATGACTTACTACATAGTCATGAAAAAGAAAGTAATGACTATATATGTTCAGACATGCAAAAAACCTAGATATAGAATGCTGCCTTACTTTTAGGGGCATATCTAAGAGTAAGTTTTATGCAATTATACATACAAAATTTCTGAAAGGATGAAGAATAAAATTGGCTTGCCTTACTAGTGACTAGAGGCAACACAGAAAAGGAAGGCAACATAGGGAATTTGAATACTGTGCTTCACGCAATTCTCTATCTGTACCACACTCTGTGTTTCAAGTAAGTCCATTTGCCTCCACAATGAAAAATTTTTCTAAAACTTTAAAGGACAAGTTCCTCGAATTTTTACAAAATGTCATTCTTTATAGGAACAAGATGGCCCTCCCCTCCACCCACCCTAGTACTAGGGATTGAACCCAGGGTCCTTTTTTACTCTGGGACGGTCTTGATAAGCTGCTAAGCTACCTGGGCTAGGCTCAAACTTATACCCCTACCTCACTCTCCCACAGTGCTGAATTACTGACATATCTTCAGGCCCAGAAGGAACAGGTATTCATATGACTGACTTAAGCCTCAAAGGCCACTTTGATTTAACAGCAATTTTTTTAAAACATCCAAACACAAAAATTCAGAACATACTCACTTTTCACCCAACTCCCTAGGTACTTACTGTTACTAGTAAGTGCCAGTCCCACTGTCACCTAAGCATACAGAAAATATACATGCTATTAAAGAGATCTTATTTACACTGGTTTCTTCCATCATTTACAGTCACACCATAGACATCTTTCTATATCAATACACATAAACAGCTTTATTTCACCTTTTTGCTGGACTAAATGAATTATATTTTGCAGATACAGTGCATGAAATATCACTTACTGAAGGGTACTTCATCCAGTATCAGTATGTACCAAGATCCTTCTCTGTGGACAAGTAAGACAGATAAGGCCCCTGCTCCAAGGGCTCATTCTTAGTGGGGAGAGGCACAAAGACACACATATATTCACTTCTATGGTGTTTGCTTTCACGCATGGTAGTTCTTGACAGGTCAGTAGGGGCATGTAACAGCAATGTTAGGGCAAGAGCCCCAAGGGGTATATGTGTATGGGTGCTTTAAAAAAATTTCAAAAACAAGATAGCCTCAACTATAACTTGATATAAAAGATACTGGCTGGTAGGATAAGTTAGTAAGTATCCAAAACCACATATTCTAAGCTTTAAATAAATAAAATGTATGTCAAATCACAACTTGACTCTAGGCTTACATTATGGACAGTTAATTTTCTTTTTCTAGCCGGGTGTGGTGGCGCACACCTGTAATCCCAGCACTCAGGAGGCTGAGGCAGGAGGATCGTTGTGTTTGAGACCAGCCTGGGCTACAAAGTGAGCTCAAGGCCAGCCTGAACTGCATAGCGAGACCCTGTCTCAAAAAGACAAAAAAAAAAATTTTTTTCTTTTTTTTTGGTACTGGGAATCGAACTCAGGACCTTGTGACTGCCAGGCAGGCCCTGTGCCAGCAAGCTATATCCCCAGCCCCAGGATAGTTAATTTTCTAGGTGTGCTAATGATATAGGGTTACGCTGTTCAGTGTCTTATCTTTCAGATACACATAATGAAGTATTTAGGGGCAAAATAACATTGAGATGGGTAGTTAATCTGAAAGTCTAACCTCTTTAAAAGCTTTCCATGAGAAAGATATGGAAGTACAACAAAAAGGTATATGCAGCAAGAACATCTATTCATAATTCTATCTGTTCAGCTTATCTATTCACTTTTTTAAATAAACAGATGGGGTGTTGGGGATCACAAATTCGCAACACCTGGTTTACATACTTCCCTAAGAGATGAACGAAGGTGTGGGATCTTTGGTATCACCCTTTTGAGATTTCCCACTATCCCGTTAGGGTTAGGCCATCCTCTCCCACCCACTAAGACTAAAGAAGCTCAAGGACAAAGTCCTCCTTCGTTTAAGCTCACCACCTCCCTCTGAGACATCCTAGTAAGTTCCAGAGTTCTGGCTCCCTCACGGCCTTTTGCTCCTTGGGAGCCACTGGTCCTCCTGCGTCCCCACTGCTGCTACTTTTTTTCTTTCTCTCTTTTCCTTCCTTCATTTCTTCCCTCCCTCCTTCCCTCCCTCCCTCCTTCTCTCCCCCACGCACCTTAACACCTAACTGGAGACTGGGGTTCACTGCAGGGGGCTCACTGCAGGGGGCTCCGACAATGGGTGAAGAGAAAAGAACGAAGATTTCATATCAAATTCCTGAGTATTCTCTAAAGAAAACTGACACTGGGCTGGGTCATCCATATTTCAAAATCTCCTGTTCATGACGCCCAGTTGTTTACTGTTTCGTACGGCCGGCCGTCCTCTCTCACCGACACCAAAAGCTTCATCTATTGCTGTTCCACTGCTCCACTTCTCTCACCAGAGACCACCACTACTGTGACACTTATAAATTATGTGCATTAGCTCATTTTACCAAGAGAAAAGACAAAAAGGAGGACTAAAAGTTAACCAAACCTAGAACAAGAATTCTAATATTTCTTCTTAAGCTAGGCATTTCAACAAGAAAAGAAGATGCCAGGGATGGAGCTCAGCGGCACAGCACCTGCCTGGCAAGCACAGAGTCCTGAGTTCCATTCCCAGTACAAAAAAAAGAAAAAGCAATGTAAGCAATTCAGGACTTGTGAACTGTCCTGCTTCTAGCTAAATTCATATAAAAATCTAATTGGGGCCAGGCCTGGTGGCACATGCCTGTAATCCCAGCACTTGGGAGGCTGAAGCAGGA